ACCACACTTCGCAAAATCTTCCGGCATTCATTTAAATTTTCCGGTGACTACCATACCATAGGTAAACAATATAACATGAAAAACTCTGTTTAAAAAGGGCAATTAAAAACCAAGAATATCTTCATTTTTTTACTGGTATTAAAACATTCCCAAAAAAAATTAACGAATGAATCGAAAAAGTCGATTCAAATCGATACGACTGTCCCGTTCGGTTGATTAAGGTTGAATGCCGCACCCACAGACCACTCATTCGAACGCCGAATCGTCGCCCCCTTCGTCTTTTAGGCGGCAGAAATATTCCAGCGTATACCTAGTAAAAATTACCTGACATTGCGATAATTTTTCTAAGAAACTATTTTTAAACTGAATATTTGTTGGCTAGTGTAAACAAAAATCGTTTTCACTACCAAATACGTCTTTATTTTATTACGCATTTCAAAATTTCGACTTCCATAATAGACACAACACATTTCTTAGTATACCAGGGGCGTACTATGACAATTTAAAACCGAATTTATATTATTATATAGACATTAAATATAAAACGCTACAAAACTATTATGTCGATAGTACCACATCACTTCCTTTCATTTTCTACCTTAATCAAATTTATACTTCATACTTATAATGTCATAGATTTAACCTCAAATATTAATTCCACTAATTTAATAACTCACTTATTTTCCAAGAGATTGACAGATTTAAGGCAATAAATTTTATCATTTAAACGAACTCAATTTTAGCTAAAGGTTCATTAGCAAGATATTAGGTATTATTACAACAAAATAAATTTTACAATTTTTAAAAAATGACATTAGTCTCTGAACACACCCATACCTAGTCATGTTTAGCTGTCTTATTGAATTATATTTGCTGTCACCTTAGCCAATTGGTCTGTGTCGTTTGAACTGACAAAAACCACGTATTAAAAACCGAGCAAGGAAAAATATAGCTGCTCAAGTATTTTTTTATATCCAATGTCATCGACCTTGAGTTACAATTTAATTTAAATTTGTAATGATGGAAACCCATATATGGATATCACAGCCACAAATTTAGTGTTAGCTTCAACTACATAGGAAGGCACTGAGGATAATCTGATTGGATCGAAAACGTTATGCTACTATATAAATTTTGAAGACATTTTAAAAAGTTTTAACTATATGTGTTTATACCTAAATACAATTCTGTACCTGGAAGGGAAAGGGCACTATGTCCATTTTTTTTTTCAAAATTGGGATCTCAGCACTATCTTACTAAACTCTTTGTGCTCTACATAGTGGTATAAAGCACTATGTCAAATTCCTCATATTAACAAAGATAGGCTGTGGTATACAGCATTATGTCACATTCTTGGTTGAAGGTAAAGGGCATCATCTACACATAATGCTACTATAACCTTAAAAAATGTTTCATGGGCTAGAGGGAAAAGGCATCATGTGTGATTGAATCTAGTTTTGACAGTTGGAAGTTTGTGTTTTGATGTACTTTGATTGTTTCTCTTCCAGTTTGATGTTATAATTTACAATTATACTTCTTTTGTGGTAAAATAATGATTAGATGTGAAAAAGAAAATGAATCCTGAGAACTCCCGTGGCAAAATGCTGTGCAACTTGGCACTTTTACAAGTTACTAAAACTGAAAGAGGTAAGATATTTTTGAGGTTATGTTACGTATTTTTCTAAGGCATAATTATGTTGTTTTACTTGCAGTAAATGGTATTTTAAGTATTTTAAAGTAAATTTAAACATAAATTTAGTACAATTAAATAGAGTGTCGGGCATGTATGAAGTCTGTTAAGCAAATACTTATCAAAATGAGTTGTTAGTCAGAGTACTTATACTAACAGTATAGTTAAAATTGTTTTTGTGTACTCCATTCATAGCATTTCATGTAGGCTACTTTATGCATAAAGTTAATTAAGCATAAGTATTAGTTAACATATAGATGTAAACAGTTTCTAGGCTATTTTAGTATTTTTAATTTTCCGAAGTTTTAAATTCTTTTATTAGACGGTCAACTAGCCTTTTAATGCCTTTAAAATACATAGTGTTGATATTTTTTTTCTTTTAGGTGCACATGCATATACAGTTTCCATTGTAAGTATCAGTAAAGAATATGACTCGGATGCTGATAAAGAGTATTATGACTCAGATGCTTATAAAGAGTATTTTCCAAATGAAAACAAATATTCTGATTCTGATGTTGACCATGAGGCAAACAAGGGTAGGATTAAGCATAAGTTAACAAGAGCCAAGGTTAGTCAAAAACCAATTGGCTTTCAAGATAACAAACAAGAAAATGGGACTATACTCGACATAGACCTACTTCACTGTGACTTACACTTAACTAGCGACAGCAGCGATAATGATATGACAAATGACCCAATATTGACATTAAATGAAGAAAGAAATCTTTTACTTTTTACTGTAGAGACAACACCGGAAAATAATAATACGAAAAAGGTTAAAAATAAATCCTTACTAAAACAATCAGGAAGAAAGAAGGTAAATCATGTAGATGAATGGCAATGTAACATTAGAAAAAGGAAGTGTGCTGCCGGGATGGAGTACACAAACAAAGAAGACAAGGTTGTTCCAGCTAAAACGATGAAGCCAAAATGTCATTGTAGACTAAAATGCTATGAAAAAATTACAGAAAATGACAGAATGCAGATTTTTAATTCCTTTTATACTGAGAAGAGCAATCCTAATGTCAAGAGGCAGTTTGTGCGTTCTTGTATAATTAGTCAGCCTATTGTACGTCATAGGAAAAATGATAATGGTCCTAAACGTAAACAAAATACTATGTTGTACCACTTTACTGTAAACTCAAGGCAAGTTAGACTATGCAACATAATGTTTAAAAATACGTTATGTATATCAAATAAAGTAGCTATCCATGCTGTAAAAAAACTGAGACTGGCGGAATAGTTCAACAAGACATGAGAGGCAGAACCACTTCCACAAATAAGATACCTCTCGAGACTCTTGAAAATGTAAAAAATCACATATCTGTATTCACTCATTATCAAAGCCACTACATCTGGGAAAAAAGTGCTAAAAATATCTAGGGACAGAGCTTTGCATTGAAAAGATGTACGAACTGTATTTGGATCACTGCAAAGACAACAATATTGATGAAAAATATGTTGCTAAATATTGGTATTATCGGGACGTCTTTAATAAATGTTTCAATTTGTCATTTAAGGCTCCCGAAGTTGACACATGTGATACTTGCAACGCGTTTTCTGCCCAACTAAAATCTCACTTAAATCCAACAGATAAAAACGTCATTCAGTCCGAATATAATAACCATCTTGCCAAATCAAAAAACAGGTATGACCTGAAAAAAGCAGACAGTAAGGCTTCAAAAGATAAGACTAATCGTCATAAGGTTTTAACAGAAGACCTACAAAAATGTTTGCCAACACATCTGCTTTCGACTGGCCTCAGTTTTTACGAAAGAAAGTTGTGGACTCTTAATTTTACCATTCACGACTCTTCTGATTTGTCAGCCCACTGTATGATGTGGGATGAAACAAAAGGAGGTAGGGGAGGAAATGAGATTGCTTCTGCTATATTAAAATGGGCTGATAATAATATCGCTCAATTAGATATCGAGAAAATAACACTATGGACCGACAACTGCTACGACCAAAACAAAAATAAATCTGTCATAATGTGCTTTTTTGGATTATTCACAAATTCCCTCAGATCAAGGAAATTAATCAAACATTTTTATTAAAAGGCCATACACATATGGAAGCGGACAGCTTTCATGCGCTGATCGAGAAAAAAAGAAAAAAGGCAGCAAACATGAGCATACTTACCCCCTGGGATTGGCAACAGCTGGTTCGCAGCACATCAGACAAGTATTCTGTGTAAAACATGGAATTTGAGAATTTTAAGAAATTTGATGATCTGTTTGTTGGAGAGGATGCCCCTTTTATTTCCAGAAAAGTAGACTGTAAAAAGGCACCTGTTCTCATCTCATAATGTGTTTATTTACAAGTAAGAAAAGAAAATCAAGGACAGTTATTTTTCAAAACATCTTTTAATCAAGATTTTAAATGCATGGACTTGGTACGATCCCGAAGAAGCAGCATATTACCATGGCCTGAGGGACCTTAATGTGTTAACAAATCAATTGCATCACATTAGCAAACAAAGGTATGACGATGTTATGTCCTTATTGCCATTTGTACCAACCGTATGTCATACATTTTACAAAACTTTGAAGTGTTCTAACTCGGCAGGAGACTACCCAAGTGCTGAAGACGATGAAAATCCTGATGTCTAATAGACAATAAGCCTATCCTTTTCATATTATTCATCCATTATAATTATTGTTCTAGCTGTATGTTAGGCTAATAAATACAGTATTTAATACATTGTCACAAAACATAGTGCCTTTTTATTAATATCCACCATCCCTACTATTGAATGACATGCTCAGTGGTAAAGGGCACCATGTCTGCTACTTATCAAAAATATAAATTATATTTTTGATATATAATTATATATTTGCATATATAATTATATATATGCAAATAAAGTTGAAAAAAAGCTATAAACAAGCCTACTGAAAAGTTTTAGTTTTGTGACATAGTGCCCTTTCCCTCCCAGGTACAGAATTGTGAAGTATTTTAACCCCTATATGTTTTTTTAAACGATGGTATACAGCCAACTACTGGGATTTTCCCATTAATTTTTCTTTAATTTTACGTTACGTGCTTCTGCATAGTCGCTTTGAAGAATCCTTATAGAACAAAATACGTATAAGCGAATAGTGGAGGCACTGTATTGAAATAAAATCTTAACTCTTAATTTTAACTTTTATAATCTTAATTTTAATGGAAATTTCGGGAAATCACAACAAATTGAGCGGTAAAAATATCAAAATATCGAATAGAAGATTTTTTTTTATTTAAATTGTGATTGCATAAAACTAATGTGTAGCCGATTGCATAAAACGGGAGTTTAAATAACAAAAATCTATGGTTTCTCTTAGGATTTATTACGCTTTCATTAATATAGGAGCATCCATAAAGATGACTTTTTTACAAACTTTTCTTGCTATAGAATCACAATCCTTCGAACTGTTAAAATTATTATTGGTGGGAGGGCAACCCAATTTTGAATGTACGCGTACACATTTTTTGCTCTGTATCTCCCATTTCCAAATAAAACCATCGACTGCAGTACCAGAGCAGGGAGGTATGTAAGGAATAAAAAAGCAATCTGCAACAAGAAACAAAGTATTTTAATTAGAGGTAACATTTACTTAGAAGAGTGAACTTAAAGTTATTCCTGCATTTTCAACAGGTTTTAACTCCTCGTTCATATCGTATCTAGTTAAAGTCTTTTTTTTAAACCTATCCATTATCTAGAAAAATAACCTTAGAAATGTACAGAATGGTAATACAACCATTAGCAACTTCTAATTTGAGGCTATGAGAACAAGAGTGGGCTAACCCTAAATATTGAATAAAGGATTTACATGAACCAAGAATATATGCGTTTTTTTTAATATAATACAATTAAAATATAATGCCAAAAGGTAGTCATTGTTTACAAATCATTGACTAATAACAAATATTGCAGTATATTTAACAATAATATAAAAAATTAGGCTTTTTTGTGGACTAGACCGCTTTTGCATCAGTGTGCCCTTAAACACTTTAATAGGAACGAGGATTTGACCTAGAATACAATAAAATTAAACAATACCCATGTTGAAAATATGCTTTATTAAAAAACAAAATAACAAAAATTCTTAAGACTGTTTTATCAGTGCGCCAAAACCTAGGGACTGTTATTTACCGACAAAATGTCTCGAAATTTGGATACAATATTCGAAATTATGTTGCTTTTAAAATTACGATTTTACTTTTTTTTTATTTTTTTAAAACATCTGTTGAAAAATTGGATTATACTGTTTAACGTTCTATTATAACCAAACTTTTTACGCCCATCATTTGAAAGAGTTTTTTTTCTGTAATCGTTGATTTTTTTTTCACCTTTCTGTGTCCAGTAATAATAGAGAAAAGCGTGTTCCAACTTTGAAGAAAATTGCTAAAAAGTACTAAAATCTAATAGTGAAACGTGTTTCTCATCATTGTTGTTTATTTTCAGCGTTATCGCCTTCGTGACGTCAAATCTCATAAACGTACGGTCAGTTAGTTCGTGTTAAAACTAATTTGAACAAAGAGTAATGCATTTGTTATTATTAAACTAGCCGTCGGCTGCGCCACTGAGTAAAGATAGTCTCGCGTAAGCAATGTAGAAAAGTAAGTGATACGCCTATTTCAAATCGCAGTGTGCTTGAACTGCTAAAACAGCCTTTGTTAATGAACTTTTTTTCTTGCTGTATAGTGAATCTTATTGTTATGATGCTTGTGTAAAATCCATGATGTATTGGAGTTATAAATGTAACGTGTAATGAGGTGAAAATGATTGTAAAGCTATACAAATATTTACGGTTAAAGATATGGACATAAACAGTAAGAAATTTATCTCCCTAAAAATAGTTTTTGATAGAATTTTTTGTAAATTTTTAGTATTTATACGTCCTAACCTTCAATTATTTATACAATTATGCAATTCTTAATTACGTTTCAACGGTTTTAATTGTGCCTTCCACTTCGAATATGATTTGATTCTGCTGTAGTAAATCGTGTAAATCGAATTTAATGATAAAATGTTTCATTTGCAATATAATTTTTAGACATACCTGTATGAATGTTAGTACTGGAATTATTAAATGATAATGATAAAGGATTCGATTTATCTTGCATAAATTGTAGACAGGTTGGAAACCAAATAAAAGATCCGAAAGCGTTAATTCTCACTTTACAAACTGATATTCAAGGACTTAAATATGAAAACCGATCAATGAAGAATTATTCATTCATGTTGGCTATGGAAGAAGTCACTCAAGAAATAAATGAGCGTAGAAAACGCAAACTCAATGCTATTTTATTTAATGTACCTGAGAAAAATACTCAGCTCCCTCCCAATAGTCGCAATGATAATGATACACAGGAAGTCCAAACAATAATTCAAAGTATGAATACAAGTGAATGTCAATGAACTCAAAATATTTATGCTTGGATAACCAGCACAAGGTAAAAATCGTCCGATTAAGATTACACTTAAAGATGAAAATGACGTCTCAGCATTAATCAGACAATCCAAGGTTCTAAAAACTGGTATCTACAGCCATGTGTCAATTTTATATGGCCACACGAAAAAAGAAATTACATACTACAAACAATTAAAGGAAGAATTAGAAGCTAAGAACGCCAACAATACAGGACAATTTAGAATTAAATACTTGGATGGCATCCCAAAAATTGTTCTTTTAAACAGATAGGTCCCAACAGTTCCACAAGCCAAGATCTTCAGATTTACTATCAGAATGTGCGTGGTTTGAATTTCAAAGTAATTTATTTTTACTCTAGTGTTAGTGAATGTGAATTTTATGTCATAACATATTATGCTCTAACTGAGACTTGGCTCAACTCTGATATTATTAGTTCGGGATTGTTTAATGATGACTATCAGGTTTTCAGAAAAGACCGAAAGTTCCATGTGGTTAATAAATCTACTGGTGGAGGTGTACTGTTGGCACTTAAGTCAAATTGTGAGTGTGTTGTTGTTGAAGTCTCAACATTTGATTTACATTTTTCACTAGTTGATTTGTTGGTTGTTGAGTGTCGCATAGGAAATAAAAAGTTTTATGTTGCAGTATTATATATTGCTGACAAATTCAAGTTAAATGATTTTGAATATTTATCTGAAATGTTTCTTTCATTGTCATTCTCCTGGGTGACTTCATTCCATAGTATATTGATCACAATAGGTCTGATGTGAAGACATCGGCAGTGTTAGACTTCATGTGTTTATTTAATTTAAATCAGTATAACCAAGTTGAAAATAATTTATATCGATTTTAAACTTAGTTATATCATTAAATATCCACTTCAATTGTTGAGAAGTGTACTTTGAGCTCCACAACTTTTATAGTTTAAGAGAAGAAACAGTGTAAATTTAAATAATAAACCGAAATGTATAGAGGCAGTGTACAGTGGTATGTTAACAGCTGTAAGTACAGTTTCCAAATTGGCAGTAAATTGATCACAAACATTGTTTTTCTATGCATACGAAAAACATTATTTATATTTCGTATTTATTAATTATTTATAAAACTAGTTTCAACCCTTGGCATTATCTGTAGACTATCTGTCGTGTGTAGAAAAGCACTTTCTGAAAAACAAGAAGGAATACTTGTGTACGGTGAAGTCATCAATAATTTGCGATATGCGGACAATACAATACTCCCAGCATCTAGTCAAGAAAATCTGCAAACACTACTTATTAGTGTCGTTGAGAATATATGGAAGGCAGGTCTGGATTTATGTTAGAAAACTAAACAAATGTTAGAAAACTGAAAGAAGATGATATCAAAATCAAACTTCAACAAAAAATGTACGAACTTTGATAAATTAGATACTAACACTTACGAGATAAACGAACCCTCCTCGCTCCATGCAAAGAGATATTAAAAGAACCGATACGAAAGAAAGACAATTGGATGACCAACGAGATACTCGGTATAATGGAACAACGAAGACAAGCCAAGAACAAAGACAGTCACAATTACAAAATCATTAACAATGAAATCAGAAAAAAGATAAGAGAGACAAAACAAACTTACTATGAGGAAAAATGTAAAAAAATATAGGATCTTCAGAACAAATACGACCTATTCAACATACATAAAAAGGTTAAAGAAATGGCAGGGCTGCAAAAAAGAAACCACAACACAACTCGTCTAGATAAAAATGGCAATACTATGATAACCACTAACGAAAAACTAAAACGACGGGAAGAGTATATGGAAGAGCTCTTTGACGACGAAAGAGGAAACGTACAAGACTTGTCTTTTGAGGACAGAAAAACAAGTGTAAAAATTACAAAGGAAGAAATACTGTATGCACTAAAGAACACCAGAAACCGAAAAAGCCCGGGACCAGATCAACTGCCTATTGATATCCTTAAACTAATGGAGAATGAGTACACTGATGTCCTCTTAAAGCTTTTTAATAAAATTTATCAATCGGGTGACATACCCAACGAATGGTTGACCTTAACATTCATTTGTCTTCCAAAAAAGAAAAATGCTAGAGAGTGCACCAAGCACCTTTAAATAAGCCTGATGTCCCACACACTTAAATTGTTTTTAAAGATCATTCTAAACGCATTTACAAAACACTTGATATGGATATTGAAGAAACTCAATTTGGATTCCGTAATGGCGTAGGTACCCGTGAAGCTCTCTCTGCATTCAACGTAATAATCCAGAGATGTTTGGATGTGAACCAAGATATGTACGTCTGTTTCATAGACTACAATAAAGCTTTCGACAAAGTTCGCCACAAAGAGCTAATGGACATCCCCAAAGCAAAACAACTACAACACAATGACCTTCGAATTATAACAAATCTATACTATAAACAGCAGGCACATGTACGCATTAATGAACACACAGAAGAGTTCGAAGTTAAAAGAGGAGTGCGATAGGGGTGTATATTGTCACCACTACTATTCAATGCATACTCTGAAGAAATTATGAAAAGAGCTCTTGAGGGAGAAACAGCAGGAATCAAGGTCACTGGAACACCAATTAACAATATTAGATATGCTGACGATACTATCATAATAGCAGACAACCTCCAAGACCTCCAAAAGCTAATGAACAAGATAGTTGAGTATGGAGAAGAATATGGATTATCAATAAACACCAAGAAAACCAAATTTATGACGATATCAAAAACCCAAAATAATGGTAAAAGCCTGACAATTAACGGTAGTGCTTTAGAACAAGTTGAAAACTACCACTATCTTGGCACAATAATTAATCACATAAACGATTACTCCAAAGAAATCAAAGTTCGAATAGAGAAAGCACGTACAACAAACTTCAATAAAATAAGAAAGGTACTTTGTGCAAGAGAACTAAAATTGGACTTGAGAGTTAGACTAGTAAGGTGTTATATTTTCTTGATTCAGCTTTATGGGATAGAAGCATGGACACTTAACGTGTCGACTGCTAAAAAGTTGGAAGCATTTGAAATGTGGGTGTATAGAAGAATCCTGAAGATATCATGGACCGAGCATGTGACAAACAACGAAGTCATGAGAAGAATCATCAAAAGAATGAAAATATTGGAAACCTTCAAGACACGAAAGCTGCAATACCTGGGGCATGTTATGCGTAATGAGAGATACAACCTACTTCAATTGATTATACAAGGGAAAATCCAGGGCAAGAGAAGTGTAGGAAGAAGAAGAATCTCATTGTTGCGTAACTTGAGGGAATGGTACGGATGCACATCAATTGAACTATTCAGAGCAGCAGCATCTAAGATCAGAATAGCCATGATGATTGCCAACCTTCGTCGCGGAGATGGCACGTGAAGAAGAAGAAGGTCTGGATTTGAACATACGGAAAACTAAAATACTCGTAATAAGTAAACAACAGCATATAAAACAATTGGACAGCAATTTAATTCTAGCGCAGAACGTTACGGCGAAATTAGGTCTAGGATAGAGCAGACTAGAGATGGATTGGGATGGCTTTTAGAAGGATTTTCAAGGTGTTATGTAACAGAGACCTAAAATTGGCATTGAGAATCCGCTTACTTCGCTGATACGTGTTGTCGGTCGTGCTTTATGTGGTCGAGTCCTGGAGTGTAAATAAAATCGATCTAAATCGCCTCGAGTCTTTCAAAATGTGGTGCTATAGAAGCATTTTAAAAGTTTCTGGGTGGATAAGAGTCGAAACTCCACAATACTAGAACGTCTTAGCAAGACTACTAAGATTATAAAAAGCATTAAGCAGAGATAGCTGGAGTATTTCGGAACTGTAATGAGAGGTCACAAATATAGGTTGCTACAAAATATCATGCAAGGAAAAATAGCAGGCAAACGCAGTCCAGGACGAAGAAACCTCATGGTTGAAGAACTTGAGAGAATGGTATGGTGTTGATACAAGCATTCTATTTAGGGTGGCAGTGCATAAAATTAAGATAGCTATGATGGTAACCAACGTTCTGAAACGACATGGTACATGAAGAAGAAGATCTTGAATTTAATAAAGGACAATCATAAAAGTTAAACGTTAATAGTAAAAATAAATTAAAGCTACTTTTATTAATGAAACATACAATACCTCTCTTCTCAATAACCCCCTAATGTTTTAAATAAGATAGCTTTACTTACAGTAAAATGATTGGCGAACTTTTTCGAGGAATTGTAGTGGTACGAGTTAAACCAAAAAATTTGAATAATCCATAGTAACTATATTTATTTATAACCAAAACACCACCAAATTTTTGTCTAAATATTATAAATATCAAAATTACCGTGCTCTATGAAGTTTCCTGTGTGCCAATGTCCTTGTGTCGTTTCTGGTTGCGCACTTAAAACGGCAAGTGAAAACAAAAAGAAAATGATTTTCATATTTTAACTTTTGTTACGTAGTCATGAATTCATAACTTTTATTTACAATACTGAAATAATGTTTGTGTGTTTAGTATGAGAAATTGCATTGAAACTAATGATATTTACGTACCTTACTCATAAATTAAATTCTTAATTAAGATAAGCTTTATAGGTGTAGTGATATTGTTAAATAGAAACAATAAAAATTTTAATAGATTGAGGAGGTGGGTAACGTCATGAGCTATAAAAATTTATATGTATAATTATCAGTTCGGTTAAAAGAGCGAAACGATTCTGTGATTACTTCGTTCTGTCGAATTAGACAAATAGGGTAGTGAAACTACCCATCATAATGCTCCCAGAAAATCTTTATATGCAATAGTTTGCGGAACTGGTGCCAGCTCAGACCAATTAAAAGGTGCGCCCAAAGCAAATCATACTAAGCGTTTATGGTTTTACCTAGGTAGGGTGCAAAACTCGGTTGGTGAGTCCGTTGTAAAAGATTACATAAAGAAAGCTGCCAATATTGGCAAAGAAAAAGACATTTATGTTAAACTGTTAAAATCTACGAATACGCATAATCTAACAATACGCAAAAAGCCTTTTTAATGACGAAAGACCAACACAACTAACGCGCAAACTTCCTTCCGAAAACTTATCAGGGCCATCAATAATGCGAAGTGAAATAGAATATGCAGTTAGAACCACAAAGATGCATAAAGCAACAGGTCCAGATGATATTGATATAGAAGCAATAAAACTACTAGACGAGGAGAATATCGAAATCTTGGTAAGGCTGTTCAATAGAATTTATGATACTGGTTACATTCCGCGAGAATGGCTGCAGTCATCCTTTGTGATTATCCTAAAAACAGCTAATGCCACAAAATGCAATGAACACCGCTTAATCAGTTTAATGAGTCACTTGTTGAAACTCTTCCTTAGGATATTACACTCAAGAATGTATAAGATACTAGAAGAACTTAGCGGGTCAACACAATTCGGTTTTAAGGGAGGACTAGGAACAAGAGAGGCAATTTTATGTTTGAACACCTTAATACAAAACTGCTTAGATCAACGAAAAGATGTCTACCTCACCTTCATCGACTACGAGAAGGCATTTGACAATGTTAAACATGATATCATGATGGAACTACTACATAGGGCCAACATTGACCAGAAGGAGATCAGAATTATTCAGAATCTATACTGGAACCAAATGGCAAAGGTGAGGATTGATCAAGACCAATATACGGATGAATTTGAAATCCGGAAAGGTGTCCGCCAAGGCTGCATACTTTCTCCGATGCTTTTTAATTTATATGTTGAAAATATATTTGCGGAAGCATTAGAAGATACGGAATTAGGCATTAAGGTGAACGGCATACTAATTAGCAACCTACGCTATGCGGCGACACAGTGATTATAACTGATAATTTGGAAGATCAGCAGTTATTACTTGATAGGGTGAATAGCATAGGTAAAAAATATGGCCTCAAAATCAACATTTTGAAAACGAAATATATGGTCATTAGCGGAAACCCTCCAGAAAACCCGATATTATGCATAGGTGACAATCGTATACATCGCGTGAAAAGTTTTAAATACCTTGGCACCACAATTTAATGACCAATCGGATCCACAACACGAGATAAAAACCCGAATACAAATGGCAAGACAAGCTTTTGTGCAATTCAGACCGCTCCTATGTAATCAACACCTAAACTTCGAAATACGCTACAGAATGGTCAAGTGCTACATATAGTCCATCTTGTTTTATGGCATGGAAACGTGGACTTTGAAAAAAACATCTATCAACAAACTTGAAGCATTTGAAATGTGGTCATTGAGAAGAATGATGCGCATACCTTGGGTGGATAGAGTTCGAAACGATGACGTCCTTAATAGAGCCGGCGTGGAAAGAGAACTCTTTGAATTAATTAAAAAACGCAAGATTGGTTACCTTGGGCACATATTGAGAGGAGCAAAATATGAAATTCCACCGTTAATCCTACAAGGGAAGATCGAAGGTAGGAGAGGAGCCGGCCGCAAACAATTGTCCTGGTTAAGGAAGATTAAAGAATGGACAGGAATACACAATACAGGTGAGCTGTGTCACGCCGCCAAGAACAGAATTCTAGTAATGAGATATTCGCCTACGCACTTTGGTGTATGGCATGTTAAGAAGAAGAAGAAGTTAAAATCTAATGAAGAATTTAACTCATTTAGATTTGGAATTCCTACTAAGTACGCGACAATAGTGAATAGAAGTGATTTTTGGCTCCCGGATATCCTTTTCAGGAAGTTTGTGTTTAACTACCATAGAAATGTTGATTCTACCAAAATCCAGTCATTAGCCAACACATCAACTCATCAAACAACAGTTAACCAGCCAAAAAACTGAGAAGTAACCTAAAATGTTACTTTCATAATGTTGGTGGACTTCGAACTAAACTCTCTCAGTTAAGGGAATCTTTGCTACTAAATGATTATGATATTGTTATTTTGATTGAATCGTGGCTATCTAAAAAGTTTCTGGTTAGTGAGACTGATCTAATAAACTATAATGTTTATAGACAGGACCGCTATATATATTGCGCAGTATATTGCAATCAAGAAAAACCTACCCTCTAAACTAATATGTAAGTCAAATTTGTTTAAAATAGAACAACTTTTTGTGAAAATTAAACTGAATGATGATCAGCTTATATTAGGAGGAATCTATATACCACCTAGTTCATTAGCTAAGGCATATGAATATCACTGCACCTTTCTTAAGGAACTGATAAGTCAACATCCACAAATTTCTGTGATCTTAGCTGGCGATTACAACCTGAGAGATGCTCAATAGGCCAATGATCAAAACGGGGTTTATTTATCTACCTTACTTCCTGATGGCTCTCATGCGAATACAGTATGTGGATCTTTTGCATTTTTAAATCTCCATCAGTGCAACAATACACCAAACAGATATGGAACATTCCTGGATCTCATTTTTTCACATATACCTGATCTAAATGTGTGTACACAGGTCGATCCATTGTTTTGTGAATCATTTAGGCATAAACCATATGAATTTTTTATCCATATTGGCTATTTTAAAGAGTCGGTTTTTTATAAAGGCTATGTTTAGGATTTTAAAAACTGTAATTTTAATTCTGTTAACCTTTATCTGTCTTTAGTTAATTGGGATGCATTATACCATTGTAATAATATAAATGAGGCTTGTCAAATATTTTACAGCTATATGTATCAGTGTTTAGATATTGTTGTTCCTATGAATGCTGTCAGGTGTTCCTACAAGTTCCCAATTTGGTTCTCAATAAAACTTAAAGATCTTATTATTCAAAAGAAAAAAGCTCATCTGAGATTTAAATTATCTAAATCAAACGAGGACTACTTATTGTTCTCTAATCTGCGTGATCAATGTAAAGTTGAACATACACTTTGTCAGAAACAGCATTTTTCGTCTCTTGAAAAAAATTTTAGTAATAACCCCAGGGAATTTTGGGGATACATTGGGACACTTCGTAAATCTTTAAGTTACCCACAAGAAATGTATCTCGGTAATAGAAGGGCACAGGGCAATATCGAAATTGGTAACCTTTTTGCTGAGTTCTTCTCTGGTGTATATGAGAAAGATAATCGTGCTACCATTCCAGATTTTGAAAACTGTGTCAGACACATTGACCCTGTAAACCTAATTCAAGTCGACACTATATCAGTGTTTGATGAACTAAGAAAACTTCCAAACAAATTCTCCTCGGGGCCCGATGAAAACCCACCAGTATTATTAAAGCACTGTCTATGCTCTCTTACTATGCCCCTAAAATATCTTTATAATTTATCTCTTATGACTGGTGAGTTCCCTCCTTTCTGGAAGAACAGTTATACTGTACCCATTTTTAAGTAAGTTCTCGACAAACTAGTGACCTCTCACTTATCAAAAATAACAAATAATATAATAATACCCCAACAGCATGGCTTTCAACGGGACAGGAGCACAGTGTCTAACTTTTTGGTCTACCACGATGATATATTGGGTACCTTAGAGAGGAAGTACCAGGTGGACAGCATCTATACTGACTTCTTAAAGGCATTCTATAAAGTAAATCATCGTTATTTAATCAGTAAATTAGAATCCATTGGTATAGCTGGCAAATGGCTTGATTGGTATGATAGTTTTCTTGTGGGTAACACCCAGAGCATTAAGATAAATGGTGTGTTGTCTCAATCTACTGACGTCCTCTCTGGAATACCACAGGGGTCACATTGTGGTTCTCTACTTTTTGTCTTCTTTGTTAACAATGTTGAGAAAGTTGAGAAAGTATTCAAAATTTCTTAACTTTGCTGACGACAAAAAAATTTATAAAGTCATTACTTGTCAGTATGATCAAATTCAGCTACAAGAGAATATCAGCAGATTTAGCGATTGGTGCAAACTAAATGAATTAATGTTCAACATTGATAAGTGCTGTGTTATTACTTTTCACAGGAAACAAACAATTTTAAATTACGATTATAGCATAGATAACACTCAGCTGTTTACACAGGACTGTGTTTAGGATTTAGGTGTTTTTTTTTATTGTAAATTAGCATTTCGTTAGCATCTAGAGGTCACAGTAAACAGGGCATTTAAACAATTAGGGTTTATAACTAGGAACACTTCTTAATTTTCATGTTTTGTTTTACCAATTCTTTTTAATAGTCTCATTCGGTCCAGACTAGAATATGCAATAGTTGTATGGGGACCTTACTACCAAACATCTATAGACAAGCTTGATCGTGTTCAGCGTAAATTTGGTAAACACCATCATTACCGTAGTGCTTTTCATGACCTCTCTGTCCCATGTAGTTATACTATGATAGCTGATCACTTGAAAATGGTTTCTATGAATCGGCAAAAAGATTATTTTTGTCTAATATTCCTTTACAAAAATTTTTAATGATTTGATAAATTGCCCTGAACTTTTAAATCGATTAGGTCTTAACACTCTTCATGAAACTAGGCATACTTCATTATTTCATCTACCATTTCATCAATTTAATTATGAATACTTTAAGCCTCCTACTCATATGGTGAGACTAAGTAATAGGTACCAAGTCCTTAGAACAAAAAAAAAATTAAAATTTAATTATGATTTTGCATGCTTTTCAGCTACATTAACTAAAAATATAAATTTAAATAAAATAATATTAATGTTAAAAAAGTTAGGAATTTTAAAGTTACAACCCTTTGCACGGAGAAAATTGTAAAAATTATAGACACATTTTCTGTTAGTTGTTGTCCTCTTCTCGTATATCACCTTGGGCCAAAACATTTTTATAAAAACTATTGTGGGCTTCTGGTATCATACCTGAGTAGCATAAGTATACCAAATCTTTCTTTTTGGCCATTTGAATTATTGGCTGTTCTTTGTAAGTAGCACTTCTTGTATATTATGTATAGTCTATGATGATTCTTTTAGTTTAAAAGAGTTCCATAGTTCGTCATCATAGTTATACTTAAGATAATTGTGTGTGGAGTATCTTTTTTACATTTTAGTATTTTTATATCTCTCTACTTCACATTTTCTTTATTTTGATCAATTTTATAGTTGTTTCCCAACGGAAAGGAAACAGTTTTGCACGGAACCTATGTACAAAATCGCAAAATAGTTAAACTGTTGTTATTATAATATTTAGCCGGTTAAGCATTTGAAAGATACTAAAGTTTTGCAGGAGATAGATATGCATTTTTACAATGGAATTCCATGATTACTTCATTTTTATTAAATTTTTAGTTACTGCAGTCTTGCAGGCAAGACTGCAGTCTTGCCTGGTAATGAAAAATCAGACCAAGCAGCTAAGCAAGCTTCTTCTGTAAACATTCAATGCTCAAAATCCCAACATATTCAAATCCGTAACGACCTAAAACAAATATTCAAGCAAGAAAAGTATCATACCTGACAAACCTACTGGAACAAAATTAAACGTACATTACGTGAGATCCGGCAGACTGTCGAAAAATTTAAACTTCCAAAAATCTCGAGAAAAGAAAAAGCTTATACCCGAAGATTAAGAATAGGACATACCCGATTCACACATGAATACTTAATGAAGTACAAGCCGAAGCCCAATTATCAAATCTGCTTAAGTGTATTAACTGAGAAACACATCCTAATCGAGTGTCCCCGGTACGCAAATCACAGAGAGCATCATAAACTTAGGTCAATTATCAAAGACGTTTTAAACTCACCCGAGCAAGTCTTTAACCTAATTGGTTTCTTGAATGTCATTCAGTTGTTCAACAGAATATGAACCCTTCTTTTCCATGTACTTTACCTTTAACTTATAACTTAGTGAAAAAACTGTTGTATTATTTAGTCATAGGTTCTAAGCTTATAGATTAACTGTAGCAATTAATAACATGTGCTTATTGTAATTATTGTACACAATATTCTTTGTGTCAATGGTCATTGCAGCTGAGACAGACTAATTAAAATAAAAAAAAAAACAGAATATTGGTTAAGTACAAAATCGTTTTGTTTAATAATTATTTTTATTTTTTAGGTCCTAATTGTAATATTTTTGGTATATTCTGGAAAATATTCTGGTATATTCTGGTTAAATTTTTGATAAGTTTTTAATTACTCTCTAATACTTATTAAGATAGCATTAATCAAAATTAGGAACAGCACCCGGAAATCTGTTATGTATGCGTTTGATAACAAATATTAAGATATAAAACGACTTAATAAGGGTCAGTTTAAGAGAAACAATTCTGCATTCAACATGAAGTTATTTATAATTAATTTGATTTTTCTCTGTACAGTTTTATGTATTTCCGAAGCTGCTAGTGTAAGACAATTGGGATGTAATCCTGACTATGAAGCAGAGTATTTAGAGGAGGTAAGAAATATTATAAACAAATAATTAAATAAAAATTAATGGCAATTATAGATAAAGAAAATCAGTATGTATTATAAATTTATTGTATTATAAAGAGTATATTATTGTCTAGTCTAGATGGAATTCTCAAAACTAATTTATACCAAATTTAAACGAAAAAATTAGTTTTAGACCAATTTTTTATTTAGAAATTACAGCAGCATCCAACACATTTATTATTAGAGGCGGCTACAGAATTACAAAATTAGAGTTTATAAAATATTTCTATAGATTTTAAGAAATTTACAATATTACTAGCTGAACAATAAGTGCCTAATAAATTACTTAAACTGTTAGCTATGTTATCACCAATTGGTCTCTTCTCTTCTTGGTTGAGGGTTTTCAAGCTGTAACGCCATTTTTAATTTGCTCTAGAGATGTTTAAAAGAATATTTCAATCTGTTTTTTTACTTGCACAAAACTCTATTGTTTATAAAAACTTTTATATCACTCGCCGTATTTCGATACTCGGCTTTTTCTATGTCTTTACATACTGGTCCGCTTTTTCGTTGCCTATAATGTCAATATGGGATAGAATCCATATAAATCTGATACTTCTAGAATTTTCTTGAACCTGCATGAGTTCTAGTTTTATTAGTTTTCCAAGGGAACATTAACCATTTTTTATTAATAAGCGGGTTTTTTCTTTTTTAATTTTATCTTCGCCAATATTATATACTTTTATATCCTTCCCTTTCTATTTATTGTAATTATTATCAATTTTTTGCCTTGTGCCATTCGTATTTTTATTTATACAGTTTTGTGATTCATGATAATGATCACAAAATGGTGTTCTAGTTAAAAATATTATTTACAGTTTCATTTTTAAAGGGCATTAAAAAAATTGTGCAAAGCCAGTTTTACATTTGTGTATTTTTTTTTTATTTAGAAATTAAAGCCGCATCCACCATAATGGTTATTAGCGGCGGCTACAGATTTACAAAATTAGAGTTTATAAAATATTCCTATAGATTTTATGAAATTTACAATATTTCAAGATGAAAAATAAGTGCCTAATAAATTACTTAAGCTGTTAGCTATGTTATCACCAATTGTTCACTTCTTGTTAACTCGTTATCACCAATTGTTCTCTTCTCTTCTTGGTTGAGGGTTTTCAAGCTGTAACGCCATTTTTAATTTGCTCTAGAGATGTTTAAGAATATTACAATTTTTTTTTGCACTTGCACAAGACTCTATTCTTTATAGAAGCTTTTATATCACTCATGGTATTTGAATCCTCGTTTTCTAACGCACGTCTCTAAAGTTTTCCGAAAAAATAAATGTGTAGTTTCTGATTATAAATTAACCCTTAAGTACTAACACCTTAAATCAATGGCGTAAACACTACCGCCTGACAGACGGGTTTAACATTTTAGTGAATATTTTTTGTTTTTTATATACCTTGATGCAAAAAAAAATATTGCAATGACTTACTGAAAGTATTAGTTACTCAAAAAATACAGTAATTAATATAGTTTATCTGTATTTATTAAAATAATAGTACATTGTTTACCGAGTAGGAAAAGCTTAACATTCCTGGACGACTGTGAAGATTGCTAAGTCGAGGCGCAAGCCGAGACTTAGCAACACAGAGTCCAGGAATGTGGCTTTTCCTACGAGGTAAACATACTATTTTTCCGCAAATCGTTTAAAATTCGACAGATATTGATTGATTTAAAAAAAACGCGATAATTTTATTCCCAAATAAATGGTGCTTTGAAATTCCTAATAAAATTACTTGGGTTACTATGGAAACGTATTGAGGTTGAATTGTCAAACTTGACGCTTATGTATGTAGAACACTAACAACTGTACGGAAATATCATTTCCTTACAGTAAGGAAATGACATTTCCTTACAGTAAGGAAGTCCTGACTTTTTCTTTAAGAAATTTTGACAGGAATGTCAAAATTTCCTGGCGATTTGCGGAAAAAAATATTATAACAAGAATGGATCGGTTTTTTGTGGACATTTTTACGCCTGAAAAAAAGTGTGATAAAAATTAAACAAATTAAACTATATTGATAAAAATTTATAATCAGGTTAAGTAAAGAGTAAGAAACGTTAAAACAATAATATTTTTAAAAAATATTTACACAAAAAAAAACTGACAGTCACTAAAGTTGGTAGAGTGTAGCGCACTCCAAACAAATTTTTTTCGCACATTACAAACAAATTGGTTTTTGACAATGAAAGCAGACATCAGCTGTTCTTCTTTTCTTTTTATAATGACAGTAAGAACAGTCCTTCCTTTTTTCTAATTTTTCCACTTTTACTTCTGGACGCTGTTAAGGTTCATCTATATTTAGTATCTCGCATATGCTCAACTTTAGTTTTCTAGGTAAAGAGGAACTTTCTAGTCTTCTGTGTAGCTGAGGTAGGATAAGTTGAAATGCCAGTTTTTCAATAAAATTGGGCCTTTCTAAATGAGTATTATTTTTAAAAAATTCATAAAGAATATAAGCATTTACTGTACTTATATCAAACATTCTGAAAAATATAGCCATAGGCCAACGGCGAGTTCGACGACTGCTTGTAAATTTAGCACATTTTTCATCCATTGAATCGACACCACCCTTTGTTGAATTATATTCCACTATTATGTGTGTTTTTTTAGTATCTGTATCCTCAGTGGCTGCGTGATGAGATGATGATACCAAAATTACGGCTTTATTGTTATGTGTTGTGTGTGAAAGTAAAGTAATGTGTTTTGTAAATCCGTAAATTGCCGTTCCCACTTCTCGTCGTCTGGTGGGTAAGAAGGTAGGAGGAATTTTTTTACGATTCTGACGAAGAGTTCCAATGTAAGTTAGACCTTTACTCCTCTATACCTCTACCAGTTCTATAGATGTAAACCAGTTGTCAAAGGTTATAGATCTGTTGGTCCCATAGAGAGCAGTAGTTAAGCGCCTAATAGCCTGTGTCGGCTTACTGTATCTTTTCTGTTTCTCTGTAAGTCCAATACCGTCAGAATTTTTTCCCGTATATATATAAGCATTGAATAAATAGCTAGTTCGAGCATCAGTACAACACATAATTTTTATACCATACTTACTCGGCTTACTCGGTAGGCCCATACTGTACATTTTGAAGCGACATTGACCTCTGAATCCCACTAGCATCTCATCATTACAGGCTGAAGTTCCCACAGTGTAGCATGCCTGACTGTTGTTAATAAATTCACTAAAAATTTCTGAAATCGGTGCTGCTGGATCCAATACTATTCTCTCATTTCTGTCTTCGGGATTGTCAAATAGCAGACATGACAAAAGGAAAGCACATCTCTCTTTTGACATAATGCATCTCACTATTTCTCTACCAGTTCCATTAGTAGCAAAAATATTATCTAGGTTTTCATTGTTTGATTTAAATAAGCATGTAAATGCTAAAAATCACAAAAATGCGTGAAGTTCTGTCATGTCAAGGTCTTTGAGAGAAGGTGAATTTTGATTTTTGTGCTTGGCTCTTTCTTTGCCGATTTTCACATTCGTCCATCTAAGAATTATGATGCAAATATTATCACTGAATAATAACTTTCAAACCTGCAAAGGGTCTGCACTATCTCCAATTTTAGCTGCAGGGCGTAATCCAGGTAACTGTAAAACTATATTCTGCTGTGAACGCCGGCCTCTATTTGAAGTGGGAGGATTTTTTGACCATTTGTATCTATTTCTACCATAGAAATAATTCCCTGTCTCCTCTGGATCGTCTTCTTCACTGCTTTGGTCAACATTATCTTCTCTATAAGCCTGTTCTACCTCATTTTCATTTTCTGAAACTAAAAAGAGAACTTTAGGTAATGGTATACTATGCGGTCTGCCGTCGCGTTTCTACTATAGCTTACGGTCTACCCAGGGATGCGCTGTATACGCTGTATTCGACAAAAAAATCTTTACAAAGTGAAAAAAAACGCATAAATCATAAGAATTTCTATTTTAATTTTACATATCAATACTTTCAATAATTAATTCTTCAACATTATCCGTTTTATTTACTTTGTAAAGATTGTTTTTTTTTGGTATTGTATACATGTGTTGCTAATCACCATATTCTTTTCTCAGAAGGGTTTGCACACAATAATGAAAGGCACCATTGTAGACGAACTGTTTATTGCTAAGTACAATAAACATTTATACTACTATTATTTAGGAATATAAAATAAACTACGCAAATTTATTTTCTTTACTAATATGCAAATAACACACTAATATTTTCCCAGGGTATGCACAAATATGAACCCCTCTTTTCAAATAACATGGCAAGGTAGATTTACTTTAATTTCATTTGACATTGATTTTGCTCCAAAATAAATGTAAAATAGTGGTAACTTGTGAATAATTAATTTTTCCACAAGATTTTTCTTGCATATCATTATTTTGTGCATCAGGTAGATCGCACCCTCGAAGTAGACCACATACTAGAGTAACACCGAACTTTAGTACAATACATACATAATAATTCCAAGAGATTTGATTTACCCTCTATTTCCGATTCCGTTTCGTGATCGCTGTCAATAGCAACATTTCATCATCATCATCATCAATAATGAGAATTTAACCAGAAAAAATAATAAGTCTTAGGAGTGTACTTAGGAGATTTTTTTCTGTTCTGTTGTTTTAAATTAATTTTAGAAATTATTCTGCTCACAGCAAAACATTATATCTTTACCCAACATGTCGCAAAGAATTTCCTAATTATTTTTCCGCACTCTTAATTAACCTCTTTTCCCGAGCAGGAGTTAAAACTCTTGGTCTTCCATTTTTGGGCAAATTAAGGCATGATATACCATTTTCGCACCCTTAAATTGTCTGGTAAATCGGTGATGGTGCATGTCTAAGTAAACGGTAAACACTTTGACGAATAATAAGTGTATACGACATCTTAACGAACTTTATTTGTAAAAACGGACATTGTTTATATCGTTTAAGTTTTTTACTAACTTTGGTTTTCAATGGCAACTTA